ATGCGGACAGCGACGGGAGCGATGCGGGAGACGCTCCTCTGGTGAGTGCCTGGGGGCGACCCTGAGAGGCGCCGCGCCCCTTGTGTCCGAGCTGGTGCGGGGGTTGCCCGGCCCTGAGCTGCTTTTCCAGAGCAGCAGCGGTGTCAGTCGAGACTTACTTGCTCCTTGGCTGCAGCAGAGGAAGGATGATGGTTTTGCAGTTCTCAAGACACACATTTATTATATTTATAAAAGTAAAACTTGAAAGTATTTTTCCACTTTATGTAATTTTGTTTTTTTCTTTTTAACCTCTCTGACTGGTAATATAAAACTTCATTTTACCCTTTCAGAATGTCTAAGGGCTGAAAAAAATGCTCTTGCTATCAGTCAGAGTATATAAAACCCGGTAGCAAAAGCACCAGTGTGTTCTTGTGCTGTCAATAACCATCTTCCAGACGTTTTTACGGATGGATACAGTCGTAAGATATGATAGTTTTGTCAGTGTTCACTTATATTTAAATCATCATTTCAACTTGTCAAGTCCACCTTCTCCTCTATAAAAGATAAAACTGATCTAAGGCTGTGTTTCATTTATGTGCAATGTTTGCTGTATTGCTGAAGTTTTGTTCATTGAGTCACTTCAGTATTGTTTTCATTCTAGCAAGATTTTGATGAACTGCCCTTTTTGTAGAATTAATGCTAGGAGTAAGTTTTGTAATGCAAGCTAGTACCTATATGGACAAGTTTTGGTATTGATATGGGATCACCCTAGTTTGTATGGTTTTTTGTTTGTTGACAAATATATCGAACCATTTCTAAATAATTTAGACAATCAATTTAGAAACTCACTTCCCAGAAGCCTGGGACATCTCTTGCAGGCCATGTAACTGTACGACGAAGAGTAATTGGCTTTTCTTTTTGTAGGATGGATACTCACAGTTATCAGCTTATGAAAGGAAAAGACTAAAGAACATTACAGAAAATGCTAAATTCTTTGCTGCTTTAAAGCTGCATGAGGTTTGTATAGATTCTAAGTAGCATCAAAATGCACTCTCCAAGTGTAATAATTGTACTGTCATCCCCCTTGTTGTGAAACCCTTCCCTAATGGTGGCAGGTGTGTGAGGAAAGCCACTAAAACTTCCTGAGACATCAGGACTGCCCTGACTGGATAAAAAAATGGGGTTTTGTGCTACTAGTTAGCTTTTTCCAAAGAGGGAAAGTCATTGGTTAAACTAACAAAAAGTGAAGAAAGTAAAACTCCACTCATACAGTATTCCGTACCAGCAGCACGCAGCCGCGCTAGTGTGTGCAGTCTCAGAGCTGCGGACCCAGCAGGACCAGATGAGGTGACCCTTGGGTAAAATGCTCTCATGGAGGTGCTCGTGTGTGTGTTCTGGGCAGTGTGAGTGCTGTACGTGCAGCGTCGTGCTCGCTTGTGTAACGTGTGGTCCCACCCCTTCCCGTACACTGCACCCCCCGAGGAGGGCATTGAGCTCTTGCATTTTAGTTGCGGTGCACGCAGGTTAGCTGGTTATCGAACTGATACACTGCAGGGCCTGAAAGGCACCAGGTGGCAGGTCTCGGGCTGTCGGGACAGTTCAGCTCACTGCCCTGTGCTTGAGAGGCTCTTGGGAAGAGCCTGCAGGGTGTGTGCTGCTGGAGTCCTTCCCTGTGTCCTGTCCAGTCTGGGTGGACACAAGTGCGTTATAATTCTTCTCATGTTGGAGAAGTTGTCAGGAAGGTTAAGGCAGTGGAATTTCAAATGCTATCACATGACTAAATCCAAATCTTTATCCTTCTTTCTGCACTCTTTCATTCTCTTTTTTTAAATTCATAATATATCCGTTTTCTGGCAGCAGTGAGTGAATTACCTCCTTGAATGGCTGCATGCTTGCTTGCTCATTGTACCAGGCTGCAAGACATGGTTGGGCCTGTCTAGTAGGCAGTAAGACTCCTTACCACCAGAACTGAAACTTGAGTAAAAATAACTCCGTTTCTTCCAGTTATCCTCAGAGAGGTCAGTAAAGACTGGGCAGTCTGACTGTAATCACAGCACTGTCCACAGAGTAGCAAAGACTAGCAAAAGGAGCTATAGCCGTCTGAGTTACCATTGGCACTGGCCAGTATGGGCTGCCAAACCCAAGAAGCGGGTAAATCTTTTCATGCCAGGGTTGAAGCTGCTTTGGCTAGAGCGGTAGTGGAGCGGTGGTCTTAGCGGTGAGCTGGACGTGTCTAAACTTTTCTGGAGTCCAAATGAGCTAAAGGACTTGACCTTTAGCGAGGTGGGTGTCAGTCTCTTCTCCCAAGTAACCAGCGATAGGACGAGAGGAAATGGCCTCAAGTTGTGCCAGGGGAGGTTTAGATTGGACATGAGGAAAAATGTCTTTACTGAAAGAGTGGTTAAACATTGGAACAGGCTGCCCAGGGAAGTGGTTGAGTCACCATCCCTGGCAGTATTTAAAAGACGTGTAGATGCGGCACTGAGGGACGTGGTTTAGTGGGCATGGTGGTGTTGGGTCGACAGTTGGACTCGATGATCTTAGAGGTCTTTTCCAACCTTAATGAGTCTATGATTCTAAATGCCTGTCTTCAAAATGTAATGGAGAAAACACTGTGAATGGCAGCCTCTGTGGTTACAGGTTCTACTTTAAATGTCTTCCTGTGTCTGGTGCGTAGCATTTAGAGTATTTTCTTTGTTCTGTAAAAGAGAAGGGCTACAGAACATCCAGGTTGTGCTGTGCTCCTGTGTGCTGTTCACAGAAATCGGGAAATTCTTGCTGGTACATGGAAGCAAAGCAGACACAACACAGCTCGATGCTTAAAAATCCCTTTTTGTTATTGTTATAAATAATCGCAATATAGTTTATTGCAGCCTTTAGATAATTGTATTTTATACAGGTTGATCTTTTATGCTTGTTGTATATATATTTAATATATTATTTTTCTCTTTAAGTCAGCTGCAAGACTTCACCAAATTGCAACTAAAAGACCATCTCACGTCACCAAAAGGTAAAATAACTATATATGAGATTTGTATCACTGTTCCTTCATTGTGTTTTAGCTGTTATAGCACTTCCATCTGCACATACCTGATACTGCGAAGAGGCAGAGCTAGTGAGGGTTCTCCCTATCAAGCTAAATCTGAATAACTGATTATCTTAAGCTGTATGAATTCATGAACAGGTAGCTCCTCTAGGTAGTGCCTCTCCTCTGCCATCCTTTGGAAAGAAAATGACAGTATGAATATCTTTATTTGTTAAATGACAGAATTTGTTCTTTTTGTGATATTTGTGTTAAGGTATTTCAAGTGCCTTTCTTTTTTCTGATCATATTTTGGCATGATGGCTAAAGAAAGAATTGTTAAATGATGGGAACAGGCGTGGGAAAGAAAGGGGAGGGGGAGAACTAGATGCAAGGGATAGGGTAACCAATTAGTGTAGAAGAAAAGACATTTGGCAGTGCCAAAACTGTGCCAGGCAAAGCAGAAAAAGGAGCTTAAGTCCAAATAACAAATAAGATATATGATGAAAGAAAGTGGAAAAAGATGACTAGATCAATGAGTGGAAAGATGAATTATACATAAGGAGGGCTGAGAAGAGAAGCGACAATGGCAGGATGTATTGCAAGTGAAACAAAAATGCAATACATATATGTGCATTGCAAAGTGCTCTTTTTGTTGTTCATTGCTATTGCTGAAGGAAAAAGTAATTGCAGCCCTCCTAAAGTGAACCAGAACTAGTTAGGCTGTAAGTCTGGGCCAAGGTGTTAGAGCTATACATCTGAAACTACTGTGTAGTCTTGTACTTAAATGCAGAGGGCTTATGTTATTTAACTGTGTTTGTAATTTTGAAATGTTTTAATTGTTCTAGAGCTAAGCCTAAAAAGGTAGAAGATGAAACAGTACGTCGAAGATCTATGCGCTTACAAAGAGTAGAGCCGTCAGGAATTCCAATGCCAGAGATGCCTGCCCAGCCAGGAGCAGAGGAATATGTAAGATTGGGAAGGGTTAGAGGAGAGGGGTGTGTGTGTATACACAGAAGCTTTATAAAAACGGTGCTGGTGAAGTTGACTGATAATACTTGTCATTGCTGAGCTTATTGTAAAAACCTTTAGACGTTTGTGAAGGTACGTTATACAGTGGCAATAATAAAAGGTAAATTCTTTCACCCTCGAGCATGTTGAATAGCAGGCTTCCCATGTCCTCTGAAAGTTAGAATATTGTGGAAGTCACAATGTTCTGTGACTCAGGTTGATGAAATAGTGCAGTTTTAGATGATCAGAAAGGTCCTGAGGTATTATGCATTTTTCAACAGCCCATAGATTTGAGCAGCTTTAAATTCAAAGTTTTATTACTCTGCTTTAATGTTATTTCACTGTAACTTTTGATCTAGTTCATTTTCCTTTGAAATATTTGCTACCTGTTTGAAGTAGTTATATAGTAACAAGCAAAAATTCTATTGCTCTGAGACGGGAATTTCTGAGGTGAGAATTCTCATGGTGCTGAGAATAAAGCTAAATCTCTGTAATACAGTTCTTGAAGATCAACCTTGCTGGAGTATCAGAAAGGAGAGGAAAAAATGTAGGGTAGCTATTTGTCTTTGCTGTTATGTTTAGTAAAGTTTTATTTATCTTTTTAATAAGATTTGATACAAACTTTTGTTGTTGTTGTTATGTTTATTTCTTGTATTATCATAGGTGTGTTCTCAGAATATCTGGTGTGTGGAAAGTAACAGTTCACCCTATTTGTAATTTTAGTTGGTTTGAGTTACAAAAATTGCTGATGTTGTTCCAGCCTCAAGTTCCGGCCGGACCTTTGCCAATGGTACCCGAAGATCAGATGGGGGACAGTAAATTGACAGAGGACTTACTGACTACGTGGATGAGGATAAGTGAGGTATTATTAGTCACAATTAGTTGCTTTTGGATAAAGTAATTTAGCTTGGGTTCCAATTCTGATAAATATTTCCTTTCTATCTGTAGATGAAAGCTAACGATACCGAAAAGCGCACACGTGACATGAAAAGGTAATCTGAAGACAGCAGCTAAAAACTGGGTATTGTCTTGTTCTCCTTCTTTCTTCTCTTGAATAGCTAACGTTTTAATGATGTTGTCTAGATACCAAGACAGCCTGAACAGCATGGTCCTCAGTGAAGATAACGTTAAAAAGGTTGTGAAATATCGAGTGAGTTCTATGGCTATCCATCCTTCTGAAAGCATCATCTTTGTGGCAGCTGGAGACAAGTCCGGGCAGATCGGTCTGTGGAATGTGGTGAGTTGTTAGTGTGCTCTTCACCTGGCAGAGCTGTTTGTTGCAGGATGGACGCAGATGGGGCACAGCCTGGAGCGTCATTTTGTCTGACTCGCGATGGTATTTTAGACTTTCCCCGTTCTTACGGATAACACCAGGGTGTCTGTTAAATTGAGACTCACCAGAATTGCTTTAAAGGTCTGTCTGGTTCTTGGCAAGCCCAGGTTTAATGGGAGGAAAGGTTGCACTGGTAATTTTTGGGGGCAGAGTGGAAGAAAATGCATCACTAGCTGAAATAATATTATCAGTGAGGGTTGAAATTGCAATTCACTGTTGAGAGTTTCAGGATCTAATTACAGTACCCTTGTAGCAATACCACAGCTAGGTTTTGGCGAGTGAGGGGAAATGGATGCTCAAGTATTTGTTTTTTGAGTTTGTACAAATTTTGGGTAGCTGCAGTGAGTCACTGTTTTTCCAGACAGCAGAGAGAAAATTGCTGTGTCAATATATATGCTGGCACATATTTACATACATTGTCTCTGAAAAATAGCTTAGCATGTGGCGCTTTGAAAACTTTTGAGGGCTTTGCAGATAGTCTCACCATCATTTCTGAATTGCCTTAATTACTCCTGCAACAAGAATCCTTATTCATGCCCTTGACTTACACCTTTGTAACCTCCCCCCGCACCCTCCACTTTGGTCCCACGTCATCCAAACCAGCTGCTTGAAGTTCACACACATGCAGATTTTCTTTTCATTTTTCTCAATGCCATTAACCTCTCATGTTTCAAGTCATTTCTGCTTTGACAGCTTCAGGAAACTGATCAACTCTGAGACTCTTAATCAATTATAAAGAAGTTTAAACTGCTCCATACAATTTAGAAAGATCTGACTGCAGCTGCGGCTACTACCTGTCAAAGAGTGTGATCTGGTGACGGGGAGGCTGAGGTCTCTGAGTGCTGCAGGCTCTTTGTGGCCTTGTAAAGACATTTCAGTGGAAGCCTAGAATTGTTAAAGCTACTCTTTTTTTGTTTTCCTGGAGTGAGTTGGACTTGACTGAGTTTGGGAGCAGAGTAATCTTTGTGGAATGAACCGGTACTTGTTCCAAAATGGTCTATTCAGTTTCTTTTAAAATAACAGAGCTTGAATGATGCCAAAATTGGAAGAGAAGATATTATGCTTTACATTCAGTTTGGGTCACTATCATTTAGCTTGAGTTCTAAGTAACCTAGCGTGTACATATTTTGATGTAAAAGGCATATACATACGTTTGGTCCTCAGCAAGGTGTTCAGCTGTGGTAACTGAGAAACCAATTCTGTCAGTGAAAAAGAGCCAGATATCGATGTGCAGATACCGTATTGATGACTGCAACAACAGGAGTGCACTTAAATTACAGCAGGAAGTTGCAGCTTTTCCTAATTAGGAAACAGAATTCTGAAACTGAGAGTAAACTCTTAGTGCTCTTTTGAGCTAAATTACTTGTGTAGTGGTGAAAATGGTAGTGGGAGGGAGTCTGTAGCTTAGCAGTGCTGTGTTGAGTGGTCCACGTGAGGGCAGTTCTCTTTTCCACGCAGAGGTGAAACTCCCTTTGTTCCAGTAAGACGTTAGCCTGGGCACGCTGTGCCCCGAAGCGGTTTTGCTGCCTGTGTTACCTGTGCTGATGTCTCCACACATCAAGCACCCTACTGCCTCCTCCATACAGTTATCCAGAGCAGACTGAGAACATTTGAAAAACAGAGACTTTACTTCGAAATTAATAGAAATAACTACAGTGATTAGCATCTGTGTCCATTGAATCTCAATTGTTTTTCAGAACTCTAAGTCTGAAGAAGGAGCACATGTCTTTATTCCACACAATTACCTGGTCAGCTGCATGCATTTTTCTCCATTTAATCCTGCTCACTTGCTGTCTCTAAGCAATGAAACTCTGCGATGTGGTGATGTTACTAGAGCTGTCTTTGATGAGGTGAGTGCTCCCTCAGTTGTGCTGCAGACTCCTTGGAAATCTCTTGGTATGCACTGCTGTGAAGTTTTAGTCTCGTTGTGCCCAAGTTGTTATTTGTTGGTTGTTTTGTTAACGAGAAATTCAGGATTCCATTTCCACAAGGACACATAAAGTAACCTTTAATTAACATCATAAAAATAGGGAGGTGCTTCCCACTGAATAAAACATAGTAACAGCTTGGGTACTCCCAACTTCCTTCCTGCAGAGACAGTTGCAATTATTGAATTTAATTTCATATCTCTGTACTTAAGCAATATGTGCCTTTTCTCAAAAGCATTACCTTTTAACAATGACAAACGAGAGCAATTTAAAGAACTAAATCTTACAAACCCACCCCCACCCCCCAAATAAACATTATAAAACAACATAAAGCACGAGTTGACTTTGCTTTTCTCAGGCTTCAAGTGAGCAAAATGCTGTGACTGTCTCCACGGTGAGCCAGACAGCCTAACTGAGGAGCTTCATGATGCTTGCTTTGTTTGCTTATTTTTGACAGATACATCTGCATTGTTCAGCTCTCCAACACTGGAAAATATAACAAGCTACAACAGTTTAAAGCTTTTTTTCCCAACCCTTACAGGCACAGTAATTTTGGTGGGCTTGCAGGCAGGCCAGCTGCTTGGGAGGTATCTCCAATTGGTTGGTCAAGAGGGCAGGAAAGTCCAGAGGGGCTCGCTCTTTGAGACAAATGCTTGCAAGAAGAAGGTCAGGGGAAGAGAAATGCCATTCTCCTGCTCTGTTTACCTTATGCCAACCTGTGATACCTCTAGGAGTATTACTGCCGTTGGAAAGAATACAGCTGCTAATGGGAAGAGTCTGCACACCTAGAGAGGGCTGAAACGTGGGAGTTTTCCTGCAGCATTATTATACTTGTGGCTAGTTGCTGCTTTGAGAGGAAACTGCCATGGGATGAGATGGCTTGACATCCTGATTCTGATCTCCCAAATTATAGGAAGCCAAATTCACATTTCTGCACCCGATTAAAGGTTTCTGCAGCGTTGGAGAAAGGAATGCAACCATTAATCCTCGCTCAGTATGCACTCGAGGATAACAGCCGTTGATGACTGGACCATAGAAGTGATATTGTAAGAGTTCTAACAGAGAATTCGGAGTGTGTTGTTGCCAGTTTGTTTTGGATGGTTAATTATCTCCTCTGTGGAAAGCGTACCAGTTTTACAGAAAGGTTACCTACATGGATAGCTAAGGCTGGAGGGAGCAAATTAGGTAGTCTTCATTAGTATTTTTAGTATATTAAAAAGGGAAAGCATGAAATCTAGAGTCCATAGAGTGTTTTGGGTATTATGAATAACTCTATTTCATTGAATAGTTTCGGTTACATTTGACCTTTTCTATGCTCAGATATGCAGAAGTGAAGAAAGCTTATCTTCCTTTGACTTTTTGGAAGATAATGCCTCCACTGCAATAGTGGGACACTGGGATGGCGACGTCGCTGTTGTGGACAGACGGACGCCAGGAACGTCTTCAGAGCTTTCTGCAGACATTGGCTTCAAAAGAACAAGGACAGTCCATGTTCACCCAGTGAATAAACAGTATTTCATTGCTGCTGGCTCAGTGTATGTAGCTCAAAATGAACAGTTATTCTGTGTTTTCAGTGTTCTGTCTGCACTGCTGTCTGAAGTCAGCTATAAATGGCACATTTGGAGGGCAGGAGCAGCTGTTGATAAGGCAGACAATTTGTCAGCCTCAGTGTATAGTCAAAGCTTTCTTGATCTTTTTAGAAAACAAGTTTTTAGTTCTTAGCAGGATTTAAAATGTGATACACTTTGACTTTCCTTTACCTTTTGGTAATGGGTACAAAATGGTCTTACGAGTCCCTGTGGTTTTTGACAGATTGCAGCGTAGATGGATTTTGATGAGCTGTTGGTTTGGGCTGGTTTTGGTGCTCCCAAAACCCTTTGGAGCCACTGGCCGTTTGAGTGAATACGCACTGCTGAAGTAAAGTTCTAAACACAGCTCACATAAACCCTGCGGTGTCTCTTGAGCTTTTTTTTTGGTAAATGGAGAATAAGAATAATTATTTAACTGTCACCTTGTAAAGTGTTCTGTGTGATATGTGTTGCAGGGATGTTTGTATTTATGATGTTCGATACCTGAAGTCTAATGGGAACAAGCCCGTGAGCTCTCTCAAAGGACACACAAAAAGTGTTGCTTCTGCATATTTCTCACCTGTAACTGGGAACAGAGTGGTGACGGTGTGTGCTGATGATAAGCTGAGGTAAGACGGTGTGAGAAGGAATAAGCTTTATGGAAAATGTCAACTGGTATTTTTTTATTATTATTATTTCCTGTCTGCATTACCCATCATTGAGAGCTTTCTGTCTTTATCACTTTTTTAAAAAGTGACATTTTCCTGCATTGGCATTTTTAATGTTGCATGGTTTTTGGTTTGTTTTTTTTTTTTCCTACTTCTCATTTTCCTGAAGAATATTTAACAGTGAGCAGTAAAATATAGAGGTACTGTTAGTCTTTAAAACAAACAAACAAAAAACCCCAAACCAACCAAAAACCTGGCTCATGAATATGAATACAAAATGGTTAGAAACTGAATTTATTTTTAGCTGCTGGTACTTAAAAGTATGATAAGATCAGCTCTGTTGTAACTAGTCTACAATTTGGTAATTTAAACTGCTGTGAATTGTATTACAGATGTAGTTTTTCTTTCTACTCTCTAGTTTTGTGACCATAATTTAGGTAATCTATTCATGTGAATACCTGATTGCATCTGCATATTTGCTGTGTACATGTTTAGAAGTCCTAAATTTTATCAAAAAATAGCAGGTACAGAATGGGGGGCCCAGTTAAGGCCAGGCTGAAAATCAGGCCTCGACTCTACAGATTGCTTGTGTTTTTTAAAAGATGGGGTGACTACACATGTTCTGGAAAGAATTTGGATATGGTGCAGTTATTACAGCGTTACATGTTTTGTCTGGAAAGGTGATTTTCTTTCTTCCCCTTCCACATACACAGGAGAGAGTTCTTTTGTGTGAGTTCTGTGTTGCTATAATGCTTTCTTTCCTGTGATGTATTTACTATAGATAATTGAAGATGTGTTCTCCGTAGTAGGCTTGGTTGTGAAAATTACAGATCCTTGGCGCTAACAGCAAGTGTCAGAGCACAAAATGGATATGAGTAAACCAGAGTTTTTGTGCTCGACAGAATGGAGAAAACAGATAGAGGATCATTTATTCACTGCCTCCTCCAAAGTAAAAAGAAAGCAGCTTTTAACTCAGCAGCTCATTGAACTTTTTGCCCTAGGGGGTTTGGGATCCTAAAAGTTTATCGGGGTGAAGGAGAGCCCAGAACAAGAGCTCTGTTGACGGTTTCTCAGTCAGTCAGGCTCACGCCTGCCTGAGGAAGTCCTGGCACTGGAAGCTGGTAGTGGTGGGATTTCACTCCTGCGTGTGTTTCCCCTTCTCTTGCGTTCTTCCCCGGGCAGCCTGTTTGTGCAGTGACTAAACGGACAGGATACTGGGCTAGAGGAGCCTGTCATTTGTCCTAGCAAGCCATTCTTGTTCTCTTCATATAACAGCTTTCAGAAAGGATGACCTTCAGTTCTAGCTAAAAGCAAATCCAATTAAAAGAGCAAATTTAGTAATTTCAGATGGAATGTTGGTGCTCGGATTTGAGCTGGATGTCTATGTGCTGTTCGTTACTATATTCCAGACTCCTGTGTGGTCTAATCTGTGCAAGGTGCTTTATGAGGAAAGGGCTGCCTTTTTTAACACGTGTACATTTTATTAACACGCTGTTTTGTGTTATAGGGTCTATGACACCACCTCTTTGTCATCGACAGTCTCCGTTCTCAGTACCGTCAGGTAAGCTGAACGCACTGGGGCTGAAGACAGCGCGCTGTGGCAGTTCCGCTCAAGTGCACTTGTGGCATAAGCGGTGGGCGCGCAGAGGCTGCGCCCTGTTGTTTCCAGCCAGCCTCGGGCTCATTGGCAGCTGTGGAAGCGAGAGCAGCCCTAGGGCCCTCCTAGCCTGAGAATTTGCCCTAGTCCTCACGGGTGCCTACAGTGGCTTTTGTTCATAAAGCACGACGGGCGCATAGCCCGCTTCGAGTCAGTAAAGTCTGCAGGGAAGCTTTAGTGTCTTCCTGTGTACCTGGAACAGACCGTTTTGTGACTTTTGAAATGTGTTTTGTTGCAGAATGCTTTTTCTTTGCGCATTTTTTTAAATATTAAAGGTCACTTCTTAATGGTAAAGAGCATGTTTTTGGGTAGAAGGGCGAATCGCTGTCAGAGTTGGTTTGCTAAGGAGCTGGAACTAGATCAGTGACTGCCTTGAAAATTCTTAGCTTGCAGTTTATCAAAAGGCTTGATGCATTTTTGCCCTATTTTTACTAAAATATGCAACCATGAAGCATAACTACTTTGACTGATAATCACTAATGTCGAAGTACCCTCTGCTTTGTCTTCTCGCTCCATTACATTTCTTTGCCCCATCCCACCCATGACAGGGTAGTGATCCACTGCATGGATCGGAGCAGCACGATCTGTCCAGTGTGCGAAAGTGCTGATGGTTTAGGAGGCGAGGAAGATGGGTTTAAGCAAATACGACATAAATGATGATACTTACAAATACTGGATTCAATAAGAGGGATGTTTCTCTCTCTCTTTTTCTCCCTGCTTGTTTCTCTGAAGACATAACAATAACACGGGACGCTGGTTAACTAGGTTCAGAGCAATATGGGACCCTAAACAGGAGGACTGCTTCGTGGTGGGCAGCATGGCACGACCAAGACAAATAGAAGTCTTCCAAGATACTGGAAAATTGTTGCACTCTTTTTATAACCTTGACTGCCTTGGTTCCGTGTGTTCCATTAACGTGGTTCATCCCAGTAAGAACATCTTAGTGGGTGGCAACTCCAGTGGCCGCCTTCATGTGTTCAAAGAATAAAAAAAGTGGCTCAGATACTTTTTTTTTTTCCCCTCCCCTTTTTGCATTAAATTTGTTTAATCCATATTAAGCTGTTCCTAAGCTAACTGTATTTTCTCAGGACAAAAGTGTATTTTAAAAGCTTTAAAATAAATCTTCTAAACTACCTTTGGCATTCTCTTCTTTAATTAAAAAAAAAAAAAAAATTAATCCTGGTATGACAGCCAGTTTGTACCAAAATAGGTATTTTTCCCCAATAGCGAAGTGGTTTTTCGAAAAAAGAAAAAACGTTGGATCAGTAGGATACTTGCTACATGTATGAGGCACTTCTTCATGATTTTCACAAGAGAATCTGGAGCACTCACTCTCTACCAGCTTGCGTGGTGGTCCCATAATCTCTTCAGGCTGGTAAGTGTTCAGTATCCATGGCTTCAGAAAAATTTGTCCCGTAAGTAAGAAAGATGTCTAATTAAATCCTTCCCGGAGGCAGAAGGAAGGTCTCCGTGTAGGCCGATGCACTGGGCACAGTTTCTAGGGAAGCTCCGTGGTTGTGAGTTGAACTTGGAGTTGTCACGGTGTAGGCAGAGCAGTCTGCAGGCACTGGAGTGGCGCTGAGGGATGGTGCTGCAGAGGCGTTGTGGTCCTGGGCCACACGTTGAGGGTTGCTGGCATCTCGGCACCCCCGTCTGCACCTGCAGGCCCCTCTGAGGAGGGCTGTGTTGTGCCCGACTGAAATAGCTCAGCGGAGCTCGCGTTAAAAATCGTCACGTGTTGTGTGTCGGTGACACCAAAGACACCGTTAAAGATCAGATACTGGTGAGAGGCTATTGCTTTTATAAGCCTATGCGCTCCAGTGCTGACAGGTGGGTCCTGCAGGGCTCTGCCACTGCAGGGTCGCGGCACGACCGTGCTTTTGCAGCCAGTGCAGCAACTGGTGTGGGTTGCTTTTGCCCTGGAGGAGGCAGTTCGGCTGCAGTAGGTCCGAATGCACCCGTATCGTTTTTGGTACTGCTGGCTTAGTGCTCCCAGTTGATGCCCTGACGGCAGAACGAGCGTCCTGCTACAACAGGAATCCCCTGATGTCCTGAAGTTACTCTGGGAGTAAGCTGGGAGTTACTCTCCAGCCTCTGCCGTTAGTTTGGGGGTGCGCATTCCTTGCCATTCAGTGTGCTGGGATGGGCAACGAAATCCTGTTTTATGGGTGCTGCGCAGGCCCTGGTTAACTGCTCAGCAGAACGGGGAGCAGGGGGAAGCGGGCGCGTTTGCCTCTCCGATTTGCAAGGTGCATCGCTGGGCTGGGCTGCGTCTGCTCCCCCCGAGCAGCGATGCGTGCTCGTAAAGCAACGCCAAGCAGACGGGTCTTGAGGCCAGGGGCAGCCGAGGGCAGGCTCCTGCCGTGCCCGACGGAGGCCTGAACTGCTGCAGCGGGGCGTGCTCCCCCGCCGCGCTCGTGGCTGGAGCCTTCTGGTAACTTTGGTGCGTGGGTGGCTAAAAGGCCAAATTCCTCGTGGGTTTTGAGCTGAGTTTTTACTCCAGTAAAAGAATTGGTACCGACACCATAAATACTGAAGAAATCTCATACCAACTCTGGTTTTCATGATATTTAAATATTTATTTAAATTTAAAAATACTTTTCATGGCACCAATGATTTTATGCTAACTAAGGTATTGAATATGTAGAAAAAAGGTACATTTTGAAGGAAATATGTAACTTACAGTATTTGGCACATGAAAGGTTAATTTCTAGATTTTTTTTTTTTATGAAAACTAAGAAATTCACATTTTCAGGTTTTTTTTTTTACCGTCTACTGCTTAAAGATGCAGTATGCTATTACGAGATTTTTCTTCTGATATAAGAATCTATGGAAACAACATTTTAATATAAAGACAGGTAAAACTAACAGGTAGTGAAACACAAGACGTAATATGGAACGTACAGGAAAAACATACAATGAAAAATCACCAGTTCTCGTGGTTTTGCAGTAAAACGCTGGGTGAAAACTGCAGAGGTAAACTAGGGCTGGCATTTATCGCTATTCTAGAGTAAGCCGATGTAGAAGGTTTCCAAGGTCAGTACTTAGAGGTTGCACTTTGTTTGGAAGGACGATGTCTCATGTGCGGGGCGCGCGGGGCCGGGCGCCTCGCTGGCAGACGGGGCTGTGCTGTTACGACATCACGCGGTACATCAGCAGTGAGGAGGAGGGAACACTGCATCTTTAACCCGGGGTGAAAAACGTCAGGTTCGGGACTATCACGCACTGCATAGAAACACCATTAACTACGGGCTGAGGTAGGAACACTACACTAAGAGTTAATTTTGCTATGTTGCATAAAACAGGCTATCATGTAAAAATCGATCCTCCGTCTCCCGGCAGCGCGCGTGACGGCTCCTGCCTGCTCAAGAGTCAGGGGCTGCACGCGAAACCCTCCTCGGCCCTTGTGCTGTAAGAGAGCGGCCGCGGCTGCGTCCTCAGCGGCGAGACATGACAGCTTAGGTCTTTATTCCCCCCGCAAACAGACAGTAGTTAAACGGGACCTCTCTCTCTTTATTGCAGTGACAAACGATCCAAGTCTGGCCGACTTGCCGTGGTGTTGGATCGACCAACGTCATCGTCACACTCCTTTGCCCGGCGCCGGCTAAGCGGGTCCGCACCGGGCAGGAGCCGGCCTCAGCGGGGAGCGGCGCTCACGCACGCATGCGGTAAAGGATGGTGGGATGCTCAGAGACAAGAACATGAAAATCAGGCTTTTTAAAACTGCAGTTATGGCCCCAGCTTACGTAAAATCTCTCCCTGAGATGAAATAAAACTTGCTCACCTGTTTTCACCTGTTTTGTTAAGTATGTCCAACTTCTCAACCAAAACTTAACAGAACTGGCTTTTATTGCTCCCTGTGTAAATAGACTTCTGCTTCCCAGGTAACTGAAGGTCCCGGTGGTTATGACACAAGTATGATGAGTTGGTTTTATTGATTTTTGCTTAAGAACAGATAGATCTAATGGTTGTCCATTGGCTTGTTCAGTGTCGCCTCCACTCCTGTAGTTCTGTCCTTTTTATCTTCAGAAAAGTCACAAAATTATAGCTCCTTTCTCTATTCCAAAACTAGCAATGGGTTAATCTGGTGTTAGGCTTCCAGGCTACAAAAGCGTTTACTCTTTAACCATTTGCTCAACGTGAACCACTTGGTACAGCGCACCACGGTCACCCAATCCGTAAAGTAAAAAAAGACTTGATTAGATTCGATAACAAAATAGCATTTCGTTGTTAAAATAGACCTTGAAACAGTCTCTTTTTTTTGTGTGGTGTTTTTTGTTTTTTTTGTTTTTTTTTTTTTACAAAACAGGTACAACTTTCGGAGGCTAAAGGTCTTCCTAATAAATCCGACACGGTCACTACCGGCTACGCTTGGCCAAGAGTGCCTGGTGTGCTCTCGCCTGCCCGTGCTCTCCCTGCCCTTGGGAGCACCGACGCGTCAAGGCTTAGAAAAAGTGACGAAAGGCTGAGTCTGCAGTGCAGGGCGAGGGCTCCTGTTCTCCAGGCGATGCTGTGCCGCGGGGAGCTGGCTCGCGCACCCGCCTGGGAGTGGGGGGAACCGGGGCGTCCCCCGATAGTGTCATGCCACGCATCGCCGCGTAGGAGCCTCCGGTTAGCAGGGAGGGATTTCTGCAAAGCGGTACTTGGAAGGTGGTGGTGTGCACAGTGGCGGATTTAATAATGTAACAGTACACGAGTGTTTAAATTAATACTCAGTAGCACCATTGCTAAAGCTCCTGCATAATACAGCATCGCGAGCCTCCCGGCTGATGCTTGTACAATGATGGGTGGCAATAGTAAAATAAATTCCTCTCTTTGCTCGGTGCTTCCGAAGTCGTACGCGCGTCTGTGAGAATCAAAACGGTAAAGTGTTGTGCGGTCTCCAGGGGTAGGAGCAGTGCGGCTGAGCACGGGGAGGAGGAGGCCCCGGGGGCTGCGCCCACCCCCCCTCTTCCTCCCGGAAAGCCGCCTCCTCAGCCGTGCCGTGCTCTGGGTCGGGAAGGGAGGATTAGTGTGTGTGCCGAAGGTGCCCCAGCAGGTCCCACGTGCGGGGGGACGGCGGCAGGTCTCTCCCCAGGCCCCCGGCTAGTTACGTGGCGACTCCTGCCTTCAGGTGTCAATGAGCAGGCTTACCACGGCGCGGACTTTGCAGGCAAACCATCGCCTGAGGGGACAAAAGTATTGGTAATGGAACTGCTCGAACTCGGGGGTCTGGCGGATATCACGGAAAAAGGCAGTGTCAAGGTCGGACTCGGTAAGGACGATCAGGAGGAGGAGCAAAACAAAGAGGAGTCCAACTGTCACAAGGAGCAAACGGAGGACACTTAAAACAAACTTATTCACCTGTTCCGCCTGCGCCCTTTTATTAAATGGAACTTTAACCACGTGCAAGCTTAGTAAGAACAGTTGAAACCAGAGCAAGTTTTCCGTAGTAGGTGGGAGTCCCAGTTTTGTTGCCAAAGGAAACGCGTCCCTGCTCCTGTATCCCCGAGGCACAGTAGGGCACTTGAAGGCTGAAACACTCTGAACCTTTAGGATTGCTAAATGCGGTGTTGCTGACCCGCTTGTGCTAAAGCACAAAAATGTAAAGGTACACTGACGAATGCAAATATTTTATGACAAAGTAAGGTTTAACGTGATTTTTAAAATTAATTATGCCACAGGTAGTGTACCCCAAATCCCAAAGTAACTCCTGGTTCCCCTTCAGTTTTATGACTGTTCCTTTTTCAGTGCTTTGGATACCTACTAATGCAGTTATTTGTACTAAAGGAGAATGATAAAAGGTCAGTGAAGATTGTGGAAGGGTGCTAGTGTGTTTTAATCTTTTTCTTTCCTGGTGGATTCTGGAATTTCCCATACAGCTGTTTGCCTGGTTTTCCTAACTCATGATAGTGCTATTATTACCAGTGTTTTTGGTTTTTTTATTTAAAAAAAAACCCCACCTTCCTTTTTTGCTAGCTGATGGCCTTTCTGTTGCTGTTTGTATGATACCTACATTTATTCTCTGCATCAGCAGAGAATGAAACATTTAATAGAAAGACATATTCCCTTAAAGGGGAAAAAAAAAAAGGTTTTGTTTTGCTACCAGGTTGTGGCCGTTTACCTAAAGATGATGGCATTGGAAAGACCTTCTGAAATCTGAGTGTGTAGGTCTCCTTATCTAGTCGTGTTTGCTGGGATTCTTGTCAAATTGTTTTAAATAGTTTTCTTTTGGTGTTTCAATTTCTAATCATACTTATTAAGGAGAGTTGAAGTTCTTGGATATGAGGTATCTTCTTACTAAAAAGCCATTGTCTGAAGTTGCCATGAATCGGTTCTGCCTGAGCTGTTTCTCATTCCTGCCGCTTCTTGGTGGTTTTCAGGCTGCTCCTGTAACTTCCCTTGTATGCAGAAGGGGAAATCATCGTTGTCTGACAACCTCATGGTTATTTATTTAAAAGGTGGAGCCGTTGTCACTGGCGGGAAGACTGAGGCAGATGTCTTTCAGCCCTGAGCTGGGGACCAGGGACGAACTTGCCCTGCAGCACCACTGGAGACAGCTGAGCCTGCTGCAGCCCAACAGGCAATCCTTACAGTTATCCTTCTGGATTTACTTCCTGGCTGGCACAGCCCTCCCCTGCCAAACCCCTGCACCCCAAAGAAAGAGGCACAGTGGGGTCCCTGCCAAGCTGGAGCCCCGTGCAGGCAGCACGGCCAACCCCGCTGTGGAAGCCCTGGGACAAGCATCTGCCTGCCTTGAGGTGATGACTTAAAAGATGACCTCAAGATGACGTGTTTAAAGCGAGAGCTACGCCTGCCTGGCA